TGTTAATTCAATTTAAAAACGAATTGGGTTATATACGCTCCCACATTCTACTGATAGAATTTTATATTTGAGTGAAATACCCATTTCTGTAACAAAATTTCCAAAATTAATCCAGAATTTGGTTTTATTAAGTCTTAAATAACTTTATTAAACTAATTTTTATTTAAAGTTTTAAATTCAGTTAAAAATAGTTTATTTTTTAACAGAAATCAGTATAAAATAACAATAACTGTTAAAAACCAAAAAAAATATAATAACTAACTAACTAAGTTATCGATATCTTTAATTTTACTAAATTAATCACATTCTATAACAATTACAACCCTGTACTTATGCCGTTTTACTACAACCCTGTAATGACAATGTCAAAAAACGAAGGTCTGCAAAATTTGTTGTTATATCAATGTTGTCAGCACTGCAACGAGTCAGCTCTTGATACGAAAAGTAGTTTTTTGTGAATAAAATACGTTCGTGCAGTGCAAAAAGCGACTATTGCAAAATTTAAACTTTCAATAAATAACATAAGTTTTAAGTGTAATTTATTAAATTATTTTTAAATAAGTAATTAACTAAACAAATAATACAATAAATATGGCCGATTCAAAAGGGTAAGTCTAATAACGCCAAAAAATTACAAAGAAAATAGTTGATGAACACAGGCCCTTAATGAAAAAAGCCGACAAAATACAAAAAATGCAGCTGAGACGACGACGTCTAAAAAAAATGTTTCAATTTCGCGTCGTCATTGTGTGGAAATAATTAGCAAATAATGGAAAATGGTATAATTATAATGAAATTCATGAAATTTTAACTGATTTTGTTACAGTTTTGAAATACATTTTTATTTATTTGCCAATGGCAATTCTATTGTTTTGTTTAAATAAATTTTTTAAACAATTTAGAGGGCTTTTAAATTTTAATCAATAACTGAAGTTTTCCATTGTTTTGAGTGTTAAATTTTCTTTGTTAAAAATTTTGAAGAATTATTGAAACCTAGTTTTGGGTAAAAAAGTTGCACATAAATTTAACAGCAAACGACTAAAACAAAGAAAACAACATTCTAGTGTTTTGTGAGAAAGAAGAAATACAAAATAAAAATGGCGAGCGGTGGTGGTAATAGTGGACGTAAAAATGGTGGTGGTTCAAGTAAAATTTTTAGTTATTGGCACTTAGATCCTATCAGTGGGAATGAAGATGATGACTCTAAAGAAAATGATATTAAACAACAAATGCCTATAAAAGAAAAACGGTTGTCATAGAAATTTCACAACTATTTTGTTTTATTTTAAAAAAAGTTTTTTTTTTACACAATTTTACTAATGTTTTGCTTTTACTTACAGTGAAGATTTGGCTACCGCTATTCTTAAACGTAAAGATCGTCCCAATCGTTTGATTGTCGATGAAGCCACCAATGATGATAACTCAGTGGTGTCGTTATCACAGGTTGGTTTATCTAGATGCATTCTAAAATATGATATATTTCTTATCACATTCTTATCCCTTGTTATAGGCAAAAATGGATGAATTGCAATTATTCCGTGGTGATACCGTTATATTGAAAGGTAAACGTCGCAAGGAAACCGTTTGTATTGTTCTCTCCGACGATGCTTGTCCGGATGAGAAGATTCGCATGAATCGTGTTGTTCGTAATAATTTATGTGTTCATCTTTCCGATGTTGTTTCAATCCATCCCTGTCCGGATGTTAAGTACGGCAAACGCGTTCGTATTTTACCAATTGATGATACCACCGAAGGTGTCACTGGTAATTTATTCGAGATTTATTTGAAACCCTACTTCTTGGAAGCCTATAGACCCATCCATATGGGCGATAATTTCATTGTACGCGCTGCTATGCGTCCTATTGAATTTAAGGTTGTTTTAACAGATCCTGAACCTTACTGTATTGTAGCACCAGAAACTGTTATCTTCTGTGATGGTGATCCAATTAAGAGAGAGGTAAGTGTTAAAGAAATGTAAAATAATTTACTCCAAAAAAAATCAAAATAAATGACAGCAAAATTAACTATACTTTGAAAAATGTTAATAATGCTAAAGAAATTTTAAACAATTTTCCCATTTCTTTATTATTTCTACTTTTGCAGGAAGAGGAAGAATCACTAAATGCCGTCGGTTACGATGATATTGGTGGTTGTCGCAAACAATTGGCTCAAATTAAAGAAATGGTTGAACTACCTCTACGTCATCCATCACTCTTCAAAGCTATTGGTGTTAAGCCACCACGCGGTATTCTTATGTACGGTCCCCCTGGTACTGGTAAGACCTTGATTGCTCGTGCAGTTGCCAATGAGACTGGTGCGTTCTTCTTCCTAATTAATGGTCCTGAAATTATGTCTAAATTGGCTGGTGAATCTGAATCGAATTTGCGTAAGGCTTTCGAAGAAGCCGAAAAGAATTCACCAGCAATTATATTCATTGATGAAATCGATGCTATTGCACCTAAACGTGACAAGACTCATGGTGAAGTAGAACGTCGTATTGTTTCGCAATTGCTTACTCTTATGGATGGCATGAAGAAAAGCTCTCATTTGATTGTTATGGCTGCCACTAACAGACCCAATTCCATCGATCCTGCTCTACGTCGTTTTGGACGTTTCGATCGTGAAATCGATATTGGCATTCCTGATGCTACTGGCCGTTTAGAGGTTTTGCGCATTCACACTAAAAACATGAAGTTAGCTGATGACGTTGATTTGGAACAAATTGCAGCTGAAACTCACGGTCATGTAGGTGCTGATTTGGCTTCGTTGTGTTCGGAAGCTGCTTTGCAACAAATCCGTGAAAAGATGGATTTGATTGATTTGGAAGATGATAAAATCGATGCCGAAGTTTTGGCTTCTTTGGCCGTAACCATGGAGAACTTCCGTTATGCCATGACCAAATCAAGTCCTTCGGCATTGCGTGAAACCGTTGTCGAAGTTCCCAATACCTCTTGGGCCGACATTGGTGGTTTGGAGAATGTGAAGAAGGAATTGCAAGAATTGGTTCAATATCCAGTTGAACATCCCGATAAGTTCTTGAAGTTCGGCATGCAACCCAGTCGTGGTGTTTTGTTCTATGGACCGCCTGGTTGCGGTAAAACTCTCTTGGCCAAGGCTATTGCAAACGAATGCCAAGCTAACTTCATTTCCGTCAAGGGTCCCGAACTGTTGACCATGTGGTTTGGTGAATCCGAAGCTAATGTCCGTGACATATTCGATAAGGCACGCTCGGCTGCGCCTTGTGTACTCTTCTTCGATGAATTGGATTCGATTGCCAAGGCTCGTGGTGGAAATGTTGGTGATGCTGGCGGTGCTGCTGATCGTGTTATCAATCAGATTCTTACTGAAATGGACGGTATGGGTGCCAAGAAGAATGTCTTCATCATTGGTGCCACCAATCGTCCCGACATTATTGATCCAGCCATCTTGCGTCCTGGACGTTTGGATCAACTTATTTATATTCCACTTCCCGACGACAAGTCTCGTGAAGCTATTCTCAAGGCCAATTTGAGAAAATCTCCTTTGGCCAAGGATGTCGATCTTACTTATATTGCCAAGGTAACACAAGGCTTCTCAGGTGCTGATTTGACTGAAATATGTCAGCGTGCTTGTAAGTTGGCCATTCGTCAAGCCATTGAAGCTGAGATCAGACGTGAAAAGGAGAGAGCTGAAAATCAAAATTCAGCCATGGATGTAAGTTTATTAAGCAAATTTGTCAAAGGTTCTTTCTATTGTAATTTTGATATAAAAAATACACTTTTTTAGATGGACGAAGATGATCCAGTTCCAGAAATTACACGTGCCCACTTTGAAGAGGCCATGAGATTTGCACGTCGTTCAGTATCTGATAATGACATCAGGAAGTATGAAATGTTTGCCCAAACATTACAACAATCTCGCGGTTTTGGACAAAACTTTAGGTAAAATTTTGCATTAATTACGTTTTTGAGATAAACTTAGTAACCCAATTTGAATTTTTATTTTCTTTTATTACTAAAAGGTTCCCTGGTCAATCCAGCAGTCAACAGGGTTCTGGACCAAATGCACCAGCGAATCCACCAGGCGACAATGGCGATGATGATCTATACAGTTAGATTTTTAGTTTTAATTTTTTATATAAATCATAAAGAAAAAACATTTACAAGAAAAATAAACACGAACGTACTACATTCAACAAACATCATTTAAAAAGAACAAAAAGATAATAATAAAAAAACAACAAGACAGTTTTCTTATTAAAACTTTTTATTAAACTGTCTGTCTGTCATCTGTGAATGGAAAAAATAAAAGAAATTTAAACAACAACAAAACACATTCTCTTATATAAGATATTTCTATGCTATTAATAACATTATATATGAAGAATAAATACATTTAAATAATATAAAAAACAAACCATAAAATGTAAAAATCTGAAAAAAAAACATTAAATTCATGATGACTTGACCAAGAAATTGCTGGGAATATGTGTCTCTTTTGTCCACCGTAGACAACAGCAACTTTTAGATGTAAGTGCAACTAAAATCAAGATTTTGGTAATAAATTATGAAAAACCCAAGATGTTTGAATATTTACTGCGAGATGGAATGGAGTTGCGGAGAATGATGCCAGACTATTTTGGGAAGTTACGAAATAGCTTCTTTAGGTAAGTGTGAAATATTTTCTAAATTCGCATACAACTTTAAATGTTTGGGTAAGGAGATATATATTTATGTAGTTTATATAAACAAGAGATACTACAACTCTTAACGTTCCTATGACAATCGGTTATACACACCGGAACGACTCGGAATTCAACGAATTACGTTATAATAACCACAGATATAACCAGATTTGTCAGAACTGACGTTTATAAAAAGCGATTATCAGCTGAGCTTACCCCCATAATATGAAAGAAAGAAAAAATATCACATATACGCACACTAATGTGAAAAAAATATCAACCATATACTACCTTTTTTAACATGTGTTCAAAAATAAATAAATAAATAAACACAAAATTTATTGAAAAATTTTCACAATTTTTTATTTTTTTTGTTTATTTATAAAAAAATAACAAAAATGAACTCCAACGAAGTTGTACCTTGTGGAAAAATGGTAAGTAATATCTGCAAATAAAGAAAAATACATTTTAATACGTTGTATTTGTAATAACATTAATTCTTTGTTTTTTTGCAAGAAATTTTTTAATATCTGGAAATTTTCTAATTGTTGGCTACTGACCTGGAAGCTAATGGACGAATTGGACCAAATCTCTCCTGGATCAGCGGTAAGTACCCTCAAGTGCCTGAAAATAAAACAAAAAAACAAAAATCATTATTAACAAAGTTTTTCTCTTTTCGTTTAAGGGTACACTATGGACAAAATTTTACAAATTTTGTCAAGGCTACTGACCTGAAGCTAATGGACGAATTGGACCAAATCTCTCCTGGATCAGCGGTAAGTACCCTCAAGTGCCTGAAAATAAAACAAAAAAACAAAAATCATTATTAACAAAGTTTTTCTCTTTTCGTTTAAGGGTACACTATGGACAAAATTTTACAAATTTTGTCAAGGCTACTGACCTGAAGCTAATGGACGAATTGGACCAAATCTCTCCTGGATCAGCGGTAAGTACCCTCAAGTGCCTGAAAATAAAACAAAAAAACAAAAATCATTATTAACAAAGTTTTTCTCTTTTCGTTTAAGGGTACACTATGGACAAAATTTTACAAATTTTGTCAAGGCTACTGACCTGAAGCTAATGGACGAATTGGACCAAATCTCTCCTGGATCAGCGGTAAGTACCCTCAAGTGCCTGAAAATAAAACAAAAAAACAAAAATCATTATTAACAAAGTTTTTCTCTTTTCGTTTAAGGGTACACTATGGACAAAATTTTACAAATTTTGTCAAGGCTACTGACCTGAAGCTAATGGACGAATTGGACCAAATCTCTCCTGGATCAGCGGTAAGTACCCTCAAGTGCCTGAAAATAAAACAAAAAACAAAAATCATTATTAACAAAGTTTTTCTCTTTTCGTTTAAGGGTACACTATGGACAAAATTTTACAAATTTTGTCAAGGCTACTGACCTGAAGCTAATGGACGAATTGGACCAAACTTGCAAACTTACACAATAATCCAATTGGTAAAGATGATATTATCAAATGGGAATTAAAGACGGAAAGGCAAATGTTCAATTTACATTTTGGACATTCATTTTTCCCATTGAAATTGTAAAATGAAAATTCACTTTCCGGCTTTACTGGACACTTAAAAATTCAAACTCCTACCTTGTCGGATCCTTCGGAAAGAAAGCGGTGAAGATTCTCCCCTCCTGGACAATCCTTAACACATTTGCGGCTCCTGAAAAATAAAGAGAATATTAGAAAAAAATAAATTTAAAAATTTCCAAATGAAACTTACATGTTGCTGTTTTTTTGTTTTGTTTTTTTCTGCGGCCAATAAAAAATTACGAAACTCCAACTACTACTCTTAAATGACACAACAGAAATGAGGAATTTGCGCCGAAATCGCCAAAATTGACACCAATTTTGGCGCAAAAAGAAAGTTTTCCTCATTTTTTTCACAAATTTGTTTAAAAAAATTTACATTTCAATGTAAATAAACAATTTTTTATTTAACCCTCACAAAAAAAAGAGATAGCTATACATATTATATTAATATTTGCTGTCTTCTTTTTATTTAAGGGTTAAATGAGTGATGCCACTTTGACAAGTTTTAGTGCATCTTTCCGCCGCTTGGTGGCCGTGTCGCCTCTGCTTACTTTGTGATAATAACTACCAATGTTTTAACGGTTTCTGATTAAGCGAACGATAAATCTGGCAGCCTTATTTCACGCCATTGGCGAAATGAATCTGGCATTACTGTATAATAGTCTTTTCACAAACCGGAAGTAACTACATAAAGTATCATTTCCTAATACAAAACACGTTAAATAAAACACAAATTTAATTTTTAAAGTTTTGTTTGTTAAATTTTATTTGCTTTATTTCTTTTTTTTCTTAATTTGTTTTGCTGACTTTTTCCGTGTTTTAATGTATGTTCTAAAAACATGAATACTTTTTTCTTTGCTTTTTTTTTATTAATATTTTTTGTAAATTGGGATTAAAAATCGATTGTTAATTATTTTTGTAAGTAATTCTGTTTTTTTATTTTATTATAATCATCATCGTCGTCGTCGTCATTATTAGCGTTTAATATTTTATTCTTTTTATTAATACAATTTAATATTAAACACTTTATATATGTGTGTGTGTGAGTTTTCTTTTTTTTATTTTCAATTTTCGCATAGCCAAGACAAAAAAGTTATGAAATAACTGATAAAATAGTTAATATTTAAATATTTAAAACAAAAACTAAAGAAATTTTAACACAAAAATGAGAAATGGGGAAGAGGTGTAAGGGTTATGGGTAGTTTTTTTTTTGTTTTTTGTTATGATTTTTATTTATTGATAGTTTTCTTTTTTTATTTGTTTATAAATTATAGTGGCATTGTGCATGGCTAGCTCTTACATAACTAATTTCTTTCTGTTTAATAATTATTTTCATAATAGTTTTACACATACAACACAACAATTAAATTATTTTCTTTTTTTGTATTACGCTTTTTTAAGTTTTTTTCTTAAAATGTTTTATTATTTTTTATTTATCTTTTACAATTTAAATAAAATTGTTTTAATTTTTATTTTTATTTGTTTAATAAATGATATTACTTTATGTAGTTTTGATGAGAGAATGTATGAAATATGTAAATAGCTTGTGTGTATGTGTGTTATGTTTAAGAGTTTTTCTTTTAGTGTTTGTATGTATGTGTGTTGGTAAATGAAGAAAATGTCCAGCACTTTCATTATTATAATAAATTTCTTTAATTTTATGTTTATAGTTTTAGCTGCTTTTATTTTCTAACAAAAAAAACTATTTGCTTAAGGATTTTAAGTTTTTTTTTTATTAATTTAAGGAAAGTCTATGTTTTATAAGCAGCTTTTTTAAGAGTTTTTAACTTGTGTGTGTGTGAGTTTAAGGTTTTTAAATTATTTTGTTATACAATTAATAAATTCCATTGATATATGTATGTTTGTATGTATAATTTTGTTTTGTTTTTATAATTTTACTTAAATTTAAACATTTATGTTTTTAAATTGTTTTTGTTTTTAAATAAAATTAATTTGAAGAAACATTTTCAAAATTTTTGACTATAGCTGCAAAAGAACCATAATTTATGTTTATGAATTGTTTAACAAATTCCTTTATAGTTCAAATTTAATAGCATTTATGTATGTTTTTTATTTTTTGAAAATGTTGCTTTTCAATTTAATTAAAGTTTGACTTGCTTTCATAAGTTATAGTTTAATAAGCTCATTTTAGTGGAGGATGAAATGTTTTTTTTTTTATTTTTTGTTTAAATTATAAAATTAATAAAATTATTATTTTGCTACCTTTTTGACAGCCTCCTGTATTAGATTTTTTTAATTTAATTTTTTCCTTTTCTTTTGAACAAACTTAAATATTGCTTTTTTGAAAAATTTTTTAGTTTTTAATCAAAAATTTTTAATTTTTTTTTATATCATAAATTAAATATTTTAGTCCTTTTATGATATTTTTTTATGTATCTGTTATGATTGTGCTAGAGTTTTTTTATATGCTTTTATTTTTTTTCTTCTATTATTAGCTGTGTTCCCATCAATTTTTTTTTTTTTTCGTTTTCTAAGAGTTAAATTTTATTAATTTAGAATTGTTTTTATTATTTATTAACAGTGTTTAACGTTTTATTATTATTATGTTTTTGGTAAATTGTTTCTTTTTAATTTTATGGCTGTAGTTTTTAGTTTTCAATTGTATTTAAGCGTTTTTTCTTATAATTGTTGGTTTTTTTTCTGTTTATACCACTTAAAATTATTATGACTAAAAACATCTAACTACAAGTTTTTATACGCAAAATATAACATTTACAAAAATGTTAGGTTTTTATATTTTAATAACATTTCTTTTATAGAAAAAAACTAAAATTTATAATCTAAAATAAATTTAATAAAATTAAAAAAAAAATTTAGTCCCCATTTTCAACCCTCAATATGTCATTTCTCTAACCATGCAGCCTTTTTGCTTTGATTTTTCTCATATATTACCAATCGTTTACTAATTATAAATTAAGGTTTTTTATTGAATTTTGTTTGTTTTATATTTTGATATTTGGTTTTCATATCTAATTTTTTTAATTTGTTGTTTATTCATTTGTTTTCTTTCTTTATAAATTACACTTTACTTTTCCTTTCGTTTTGCGCTTAAATCTTCACTAGAATAAATTATTCATACTTTTTTTTAACTAAAAATAATAATAGGTTTAACAAAAAAAATTAAATTAACATTAAATTATTCCATAAGGAGTAACCTATAAAAAGATGAATGTAAATATTAATAAAATATTTTCTTTACTTTTATTAACTTTATTAAGAGTAAAAATAATGCCTCAATTTTTCATATAATGGCTTTATCCAGTACATTTGTAGACAGTTACTACAACTGTCTACTCCCTTTCAAGACTTGAAATAATTTAGAATTGAAATCTATAATAAACTTCTCTGAAAGTCATCAACTATTTTCTTACTTTGTACTAGAAAAAGTAGTACCAAAAAGCACCCTGCAATATTTCAATTCAACATTTTTAAATGCTGAAATCTTTAAAAAGCGTCTTAAAACCTTTACTCGATACGAAAATGATAAAAGAATGAAGGTCATCAGTATTTTAAACTCTCAGTTGTAATTTAACAGAAATGAACTTTGGAAATTCTTAAGGAAATTCTAATTCATCTATATTAAACTAGCCAGGATAGGCTATCCTTATCAAAGTTAAATACAATCGAAATTTGGATTACAAATGTATAGAAAGATATCATGCGAACAGAACACTCTCATACATTTATTATAATAAAGTACGTTTTCGTTACTATAAAACAGTTGATGCTTCTGTTTTTATGTGCCAATGAAGAGTTCCTTCTTATACATTCTCATTTACCTACTCATGTATATTTAAACTTAATCTTTCCATTTTATAAAAGAGAAATTACCAAAAGTTGCTTCTAATAGATTATCAGACTATGTAGTTTCTTATTGGTTGGTTCCATATTATAGAAAGTTCAATTGGTCCCATTGGAAGAACAAAAAAAATTCCAATAGGTAATAGTAATGATTTTCAGAAATTTTTATATCTAAGAGGTACTAATTGATAGAGGAAAAAGTACTTGGATGCTATCTTTTATAGGTTCTAATTCAATCAAAACGATGTGCGTTTAATTTTCTGTTTTTAGGTTCAATTAAAATGTACCTGTTTAAGAACAAAAAAAGTACCAAAATGTTCCCTCATATATATTATCATTTAATTGGGACCAAGTATGTTAAAATTCTTATAAATTCAACTTTTTATGAAAACTGTTCATTTATACAAAAGGTACGTTTTAAAAAAGTACCAAATTATTCAACCACATTTAGATCTAAGTATGTATTGGAATCTAAGTTCAAAAAAGCCTAATCATTAAGTATAACTTTTAGTAAAATTTAATCAAAATTGGCTCAATGAGTTTCAACTATCTTTTGGTACTTTTTTCTCCCTAGCAATGCAACAGAAATTTTATTCTAAGAATGCAACATCTATAAATATTTATATGTACAAAGCAACTGATAGAAAACAGTTGTTTTATAAAATAGTACCAACAATAGGTTTTAATACACCTTAAACATCCGAATTTCCCAAAAGTACCAAACTTATATTCGTAATTTTTCAGAGAGTTATGAATATGATCTAAATTATATTTATATGTTTACTGGTTTAAAAGGTACATGAGGTTAAAAAAAAGTACCAAAATACAGTTTTTAACCATTTCCCCCTAAAAAGAACCGAATTTCGAAAAAGTACCTGACGCTTTTTTTAAATAAACAACGATAAGTGTATGATAAGAGAATCGAATTTCCAAAAATCCTTCCTTAGTGGATCTACATGACCAAAAATACTTTTACTGTGAAAACCGTTTAGGCAGCACAAAGATCAATCAATCCGTAACGCGACTCTTTTTATATATATAGATGACTCTTTATGAAATAACAATTAAAAGAAATCGTTTTCTTAAATAAAAAATACAATAATTGTAATAATGGCAAATTTACAAGAAAAATACATAATAATAATAATAAGTAAATAAAATTTTATATAAATATAAAATTAACTAAATAATTAGTTAAATATAAACAAAAAAGAAAAATAAACTAATAAAATTAAAAATAATAAAAAAAATCAATAATAACAAAATTAAAAATACATAAAATTAAAAGAAAAATAAAAATTGTTTTATAATAAGTTAAATTAATTTAACATAGTATACTACATACATAAAAAATAGTATAATTAAGATCTTTATATATTTCATTTGATGAATAATTTGTTTTTTTTTAAAGGATTTAAATTAAATAGTTAACATGCTTATTTGTTTTATTACAATTTGTTTTTTAATTAAAATTATTTAAACAGTAATAATGATAATAATTATTAAATATTATCAAACGTTTAGATGTATATGTTGTTGTTATAATTATGATAATAATGTTATTAAAGACAAGGAAGAAAAGGGTCCATATTATAATAATTATAATTATAATAATGATATTTATTTTTATATTTTTCTTTGTTTTTTCAAGTTTTTGTGCAAAATTGGGCTTTGAGCTTTAAAATGTTTTATCAATTATAAATCGAGAAGCATTTTGTTTAATTTAAGTTTTGATTGTTAATTATTTAGGGTTTTTGTTTTGTTTTTCTTTTCTATCTTTTGTCTTATTTTATTATTAATGCAAATCAATTTATTTATTACTTATTTATCTAATGTAAATCTTTAAACTTAAGATTTATTAAAAACAAAACCAAATGTTTTGTTGTTTGTATTAGCTGGGTTTGGTTTTAAGGTTATTTTTAACGTTTCTCTTAACAAACAAGCAACGCCCGGATATGGTCAATAATAAGTTTAATGTTTGTATTTAAGTTTTAGAGAGGGCCTGGCTGTTTTAATAATTGTTGTGCTTTTGTTTATTTTGTAACTTACATTTTGTCAAATATTTTAGTTTTTGTTTTTAAATTTAAACTAGTAGTTGTAGCTTTTTGTTAAATTTTTTTTTGGTGATCGTTTTAAAAACATTTTTCTGCGTTTTCATTCTTAAACATTTTGTGCAGTTGTTTACGTTTTGTAGCTTTTTAATCATGTATATGTTGTTGGTTTATTTGTATCTATGTGTTTTAAATAATATGTTGTTTTTTTTTCTTGTTGTTTTAATTAAAAATATTTTTTTTTAAACATCAGACTTTTTATCGTGTATCGGTGATATTATTTTTGCTGCCAAAAATCTTTATCAATTGTGTTTCATAATCATCTATGTTACGCTTCATGATGTCCATACAGGGTCCCAATAAACGTTCGAATGCCTCAACCTCTAGGACTGTTTTAAAAGATTTGAAAAATTTGTTTAAAAAATTAATGTTTGGTTGAAAATTAATTGAATATATGTGATAGAACACAATTCTTTTTCGGTTAAATTGCTAGTTACAAAACTTTGTAGATTGTCATGCTGTGATAGATATAGGAGAGAAACACACAATAAACATACACACATATAAAATAATACAGATAACACAAAATATACATTTAAAATTATATTATTAACAAATAATCCAGTAAAAATAGACTAGTCTACAGTCCAGTCTATAGTCTAGCCTATAGTCTAGGTTATATATAGTATATAGTCTAGTTTATAGTCTAGGCTATAGTCTAGTCTATAGTCTAGTCTATAATCTAGTCTATAGTCTAGTCTATAGTCTAGTCTAGTCTATAGTCTAGTCTATAGTCTAGTCTATAGTCTAGTCTAGTCTAGTCTAGTCTAGTCTATAGTCTAGTCTAGTCTAGTCTAGTCTATAGTCTAGTCTAGTCTATAGTCTAGTCTATAGTCTAGTCTATAGTCTAGTCTATAGTCTAGTCTATAGTCTAGTCTATAGTCTAGTCTATAGTCTAGTCTATAGTCTAGTCTATAGTCTAGTCTATAGTCTAGTCTATAGTCTAGTCTATAGTCTAGTCTATAGTCTAGTCTATAGTCTAGTCTATAGTCTAGTCTATAGTCTAGTCTATAGTCTAGTCTATAGTCTAGTCTATAGTCTAGTCTATAGTCTAGTATATAGTCTAGTCTGTAGTCTATAGCCTAGTCTATATTCTAGTCTATAGTCTAGTCTATAGTCTAGTCTATAGTCTAGTCTATAATCTAGTCTATAGTCTAGTCTATAGTCTAGTCTATAGTCAAGTCTATAGTCTAGTCTATAGTCTAGTCTATAATCTAGTCTATAGTCTAGTCTATAGTCTAGTCTATAGTCTAGGCTATAATCTTGTCTTTAATCTAGTCTATAGTCTAGTCTATAGTCTAGTCTATAGTCTAGTCTATAGTCTAGTCTATAGTCTAGTCTATAGTCTAGTCTATAGTCTAGTCTATAGTCTAGTCTATAGTCTAGTCTATAGTCTAGTCTATAGTCTAGTCTATAGTCTAGTCTATAGTCTAGTCTATAGTCTAGTCTATAGTCTAGTCTATAGTCTAGTCTATAGTCTAGTCTATAGTCTAGTCATAGTCTAGTCTATAGTCTAGTCTATAGTCTAGTCTAGTCTATAGTCTAGTCTAGTCTATAGTCTAGTCTAGTCTATAGTCTAGTCTAGTCTAGTCTAGTCTATAGTCTAGTCTATAGTCTAGTCTATAGTCTAGTCTATAGTCTAGTCTATAGTCTAGTTTATAGTCTAGTCTATAGTATAGTCTAACCTATTGAGTGCATCGTATATACTAGTCTATCAACTGGTCTATGAGATATTCTGTTGAGTGGTCTATGGATTAGTATATTGACTAGACTATTAATAGGCTATTGACTGATGAATGGGCTGGTCAATGGTCTATTCTATGTCTTTCGACTGGTCAATGGACTAGCCTATTAACTAGTTTTTGGATCATTCTATTGATTAATCAATATACAAGTCTATTAAACGTACTACTTTATTGATTACTTAGATAAAAAAGATACTTAATATGCCGTGGAGGTACTGCGATATTTTTCGATGTGAAAAGTACTGAAAAAAGTACAATAGTACTGAATTTTACATGAGAAATCAAATTTGTAATTTGATTAACTATAAAATATTTTATTAAGGGCTTGGTTTTATTATAATTTATTATATGAGAGGAAATTTTGTAAAAATAGTTTCATCCTTAAGAGCGATGTAAAATTATTCAGAAAATTAAGTTAATCACTTAGGTTAAGTTACGAATGTTAAGACACAAATACTAAATTTAAAACTAAACACCAAATAATTCTATTAGGATATGGATTATACAGACCAACAAAATGGGAAAAAAGGTAGAAGCCCAGAAACCAAAGTATACTTTTACTAAAGCGCTGAATCCGAATCTGCCTTCAGAATATATCGTTTAATAAAGTTTTAACATTTGAAGCCACTATAAAATCCAAAAAGAATATATTGCCTTTATTTTACAATTTTAAAACTTTAATGGTTGATATTTCAGCAAGTTATTTTTAAACAATTCAAAAAGTATCCTAGCAGTTCGATCGGTCGAACAGTCCCGAACTATCTATTTAACCTACCATTTAGGGTTACCACATAGCCACCGTCTGCTCAGGTGACTAGCTATTTTAACATATGATTGTACTACGAGTAAGTCAATCGTCACCCCAAAGATTACGAAGAGGTAGATAAAAAGCTTAAGTTTTCTTTTAAGGGGATACTAAAGTGACGATTATCTTTCGATTATCTTCCTCGTTTACAAAGAGTACGTCAGTGACGAAAGACGAATTGGAGCCAGAGCAAGAGAATCAAATATAGCCATTTAGGGAACTTTTTCAATCTTTATGACACGATATAAACCTCATTTTGAGGCCAGATTCTGCGCTGCTGCTTTAGAAAAGTATACCTTGGTATCTGGATTAAACATGTACTGTCCTGTGTTATTAATACATCGAATTACACACATATACACAAACATAAAACACAAACATTAAAAAATAAAATGTATAAGATTAAGGAAAGGACTGGAGTTTTAATATTCGAAATTTTTGTTTCATAAAAAAATGTTTCATAAAAACATAATTATTTTTTATTTGAGGCCAAATTCTGATTTCGAATTTAAAAATGATAAAGATTGTCTAAAACCCAATAATAAAAAATAATCATAAAATTTTATAATAAAACCTTCACCAAATAGAAAAATTTCCTTTAAAAATTGTTCTTAAGTGTAATAAACATATTTGTAAGTGTTTGTGTATATACATATATAAGTACATATGTGTGATAGTGTATTAAATAATAATATATTGTGGTATTAATAAAATACAACAATATTTGCAAAAAAAATATATAAAAGCTAAGTTTATACCCAAGTGGCACATGCTGTTGCAGTTTTATTTTTGGGGTTAAAACGACAGTCAGTTTTTTTACAATATTCATTACAATTTCTTTTTAACACCAATCTTATCTTACCAGTACGAGAAAAAAACAATAATTTTGACAAATAGCATTCAAGCGCCATAGTAAAGGGTTTAAACCTAAAAAAATTTTGTGTGTTTTGCTTTTCTTTTCTGCCAGATTTAGATTTTTTTTAAATAAATTTAATAATGATTTTATTGAACAATACAAATTGTACAATAATTGAAATGTAATTATATTCAAATAGTTTTTCTTGATAACTCAATTAATTGAGATTCATAAATGCCCACCCGCTTTTTCATGATATCTTTAAGGAAACCTAAAATTCTTTCAAAGGCTTCAGTTTCCAAAACTTAAAATAAACAAAACAATTGAAAACAAAAATGTATTTATTATTAATTAAAACATTAGCAAGTTATGTATAAAAATTTAAAAAAAACAGTATATAAAAAAAGAAGTAAACAAATCTATAATTGTAAATGTTCCATATCTTTAAGTTGATCATAATAGGAACGTAAATCTTCATCCAAATAACGATAATCACTAATGGAACGTTCCAGTAATTTAGTACATTTTCCCAATAAACGTTCAAAACAATCTGTATCTAAGACTACATAGATTATCACAAAAAATCCCATATAGAGATATAAGGAAATGCAGTATGGAAATGTAAAGTTATGAAAAATGTTTAACAGTTTGCATTTTTTATAAATGTTTGATAAATTTATATGAAACAAATGCATTTCAAAATATATTAATAAATACAATTCAATTATTTAAAGCCATACAGGGTGGTTGGTATATTTCGTAGGAATGTTTTTTTTGATTGGGAATGGGGGTATGGAGGTAGAAAAGAAGCATAATATGTGTTAAAAAAATGAGGAAAAACAAAAGGAATGGAAAAAATATGAAATTAATAAAAATATATGTAACAAATAACTACATAAAGAATAAAAAAAAACTTCAACAATACATAGAGAAATATTAAAATTTAACACTACTACTAGTCTAGTAACAAGCTTAAGGCTTTTTAAAAAAAAAGACAAAATAGAGTTCTAAACAAAGAAATAAATTTTAAAAATTTCTAGCAAAATATTTGATTATATGTTTTGTAAATACTTTATGGTCTACTTACATGCCACTTTAACGTCGCAATCTGCATAAACCGAGGCAGCACGTGGCCGATGTGTTACCAGGGCCAATTCACCAAAGTATTCTCCCTTGCCAAGTTTAGAAATTTCTATTTCCGAACCATCTTGATCCATTTTAATGGCCACAGTACCTTCTTCTATGAAATACATGCCATCAGCAGCATCACCTTTGGGTAAACGAGAGAGAGAAGGATTCATTAAAATTAAATTTTAGTTTTAATCCCGGTCATTATTTGTTTAGTTTTAAAACTTCGAAAATAATTATAAAATTTTCAGGAATTTTTAAGTTTTTTTTTTTTTTTTGTTCATAAAAATTTAAATTATCTTATAAAACTAAATTTTTCATAACTTTAAACAACTTTTTCACTCAAACCAATTTGATTTCAAGAGAATATAAAAAAGCTTTTAAATAACACCAGCCAGCAGCCATTACCTTGTTTAATAATTCTTTCATTTTTGTTATAACGTTTGGTAACCAAAGCATCAGCCAAATTCATACGTTCATAATTCTAAAAAAAACACGTAAAATATTTAATATTCCATAGACATTAAAGTAAAAAAAATGTTGGTCTGTTTTTATTATTACACAACGCACACACCTGTAAAGCTTTTAGCATTGGCACACTATCCAATAATGATTCATACATTTTTCTCTTTTTAAATGCGGATTTCAATAGGATACGACGGAAAGTCTGACGATCCATAGCCCACAATAAACCTTCTGTTTCCGCCTGTATAGTTGCAGCTCTAAAACATATTTAAATATTCAATATAAAGCATAAAAACAAAAAAAAACATTTAATTCCTTTACCTGGGCATATTGTAGAGTAAAGCCAGTTCACCAAATATACCACTATTGTTGTATGTATGTACATGATTGTCATTAACAATAACTTTGTATGTACCGCTGTGTAAAATAAAACAAAAAGAACAAAAAAACACACACAAAAGTTATAATCTACTCAAATACATAGAAATTGAAAAAAAAAAACCCTACAGGGCGTATGAGTATTATGAACATGTTATTAACACTCATACGTCACGTATGCATACGTTAAATAATATTTTATTGAAAATGTTAAAACTTACGATTCAATAACATAAAAGTTATCACCATCATCACCCTGACGTATTATATACTCATCGGGTAAAACCCTTCTTTCAAACATGGCATCCAGTACTTGATTCATCTGAAATTTTTAAGAAAAGAAATTATTATTTTTATTTAGGGAATTAAAACAGGGATGGAAAATTCATTTTTTTTGTAAATTATCCCCACGATATTAAGTACTATTTTCTATTGAAAACTAAACAGTCAATCGACTGGTCAGTAGACTAGTCCTTAGAGTAGTCAAACGACAAGTCCATGAACTAATGAATAAACTTGTCTAAAGCCTTGTAAATCTATACAATATAGTCTATAAAGTAGTCCATAGAGTAGTCTACAATCTGGTCAATATATTAGACTAATCCTTAGACTGATCCATAGACAAGTCTAAAGACTATAAAATAAACTAATTCATAAAGTAGTCCAAATACTGGTTAAACGGCAAATCTATACATTAAACGTTAAACGGCTAATCTATACATTAATCCATAGACTAGTCAATAAACTAGTACATGGACAAGTCTAGTGTATAAAGTAGTCTATAGACTGATCAGTATGCTAGTCAATTGACTAGTGAATGATCTTTTAATCCTAAAAGTACTCCATTTGACAGCAAGTTACTTACTTGTTCTTTTTCCAAGGAACGGAATAATAAAACATTCTTAACCGATTCTACTAATCGGGCGCGCTGTTCATCTGATTTGGGAAATACGGCAGTGGCCCCCTCATCGTCATCAGCATCATTTTCTGGATCATAGGCCTCGGCAAAGACAGACTTACGACGTGTGGAAAAACGTGGTGCTGCAGGTTCTGAAAAGGTAAAGAAAACAAATATTTAGATAAGTTTACTTCTACTTCAATCCAAGAAAAACAAGAAACCAAAGAGGACTTGATGGTAGAAAAGTTTCTCAGGACTAAAATTCCCTGCTAACTTAACAAACACTTCATACTTTTAGGGATTATAGCAGCTTTAAAGATATTTAAATGTATTCGTATAATTACCTAAAAATCTACACAATTTTAATGCGAAAATTAACCGAAGTTTACTATAATAAACTACATACAATTCTAGAGAATATCTCCCTGGAATCTTAGGAATTTCTTAATTGTGCAATAAATTGCAAAAAAAACATGTAAGCTATTTATTAAGCATATTTTGTGATGGTTTCATTATAATTTATTCTCAACTGTATTTTTAATTTTATTTAAACAATTAAGGAAATATAAAACAAAGAAAATGATATACGATATAAATGAAATATAGAGGCGCTTACCAACAAGTAAAGATCCAGACACTTGTGAACTCATATTTATCAAATGTTGCACACAACAAGAAGACAACAATAACAACGTAGAGAAGGATGACGGACGGATGTTAGTGCTGATTAAAAACGTGAAGGCTACAACTATGACCACAATAAAGAAGCGAGACGACGAGACAATATATAACACTTAACGAAATGTTTCTTGTTGTTGTTGTTTTCTATTTAAACAACAATTAAATCTGAAGATGAATGCAGTTGCAAATTAATTGAAACAAAGTAAGTAAAACACAATTTAATATTCAATTTAACAGTTTCAAGAGCTTTCACACATACTACTACTAATGATTGATGATGTGTTTGTATGTATGCATGTTGAAATAAATAAATCATTGTCTTTCCACTGTGAAACAATAACTTAAAAGCAAAAACAATTATTGAAAATAAAATTACATTATGAGTATGAATATGAGTATAAACGAATGAATAGCAACAAGTACATTAATATATTGGCTAAGGGCATTAGTAATTTCGTTAAAATTATTTCCCTATTATTGTTATGTTTAATATTTAAAGGCAACTTTAAACCTATTTGAAAACCATTATTATAAAGAATGACAATACAATATTATGTTGTTTTGTTAAAGCTGTTGAAATCAGATTTCCCCTGATCTGGACAATATTCTGATCCAACAAGATGGTATGTATTGATTTGACCATTCCTTTTCTAACACGGCAAAATATTGGTCGCAGACTCATTGGGTTCTTATTACATTTTACGATGATCTAGACTGGACTATAGATAGCCTTTGTTTGACATTGAAAATCTGAATATATAGATTCACACTTGTCCAAAGTCAGTATAAGATTTGCTCAAAAAAAAAAATACCAATATGAAATTCGACATAAACTAGTTTTAAAAGAATCAAAATCTCTATATTAGAATCGGTCTATAATTGATCCTTTTTTACTTCCATATAACCCTTAGTACAGAAGATCAAGCAAGAGATCGTTTAAAAGTCAAGGAATAAGTATAGAATTTAAAGAAAATGATTTGTTATAAGAAATTAATTACACTCTTGACCTCCGTAGAGTTCGGACCATAATCCTGATCAAAAATTTGATCTCCATATAAAAACCGACACATTCTAACAAAATTCAGCATGAATCTTATATGATGATAACAAGTTTTAAAAGTATCGTTCCAATATAACCTATACATACATAGGATCGATGGTAATTTATGAACATAGGTAGTAAGACGTAACTGAGTTTTGAACCAGTTCCGGTATACCTTGTACATCCCAATCGTGAGAAACAAATTTCTAACATTTCCCAATTTTAACTATAAAATTGTTGAAAATAATTTACAAATTTTCATAAAAGGTTTTTCAGAAGATAAACTTTTATAAATTCGAACTTAAGTTCGCAATTTTGAAATTTTAAAACTTTTGAGAAATTTATTATTAAAGAAATATCCTATAATATTATTATTTTTATAGTTTATTCACTTTGCAATTACTTTTTTTCCCCACACCAATATTAATAAAACTGAGAGTAAACAATATAAACGTATGATATGAAAACAAAACGAAAAGAAAAAATAATTTTCAAAAATAGATTTGAATATTTTTTTTGCATCAATCAGAAAAAAGCACACTAATTTTTCTCATTATTATTATTTGTTATAGCAATTAGAACAAAAATAAATTACATCATTTTATAAGATTTTTAAGATTTTATCTGATAAATTTAAACGAAAAAAAAAAACAACTTGAAAATTTTATTTTGTTTAAGTATAAATTTAGTTTAAAGAAAATATTTAACATACATTTGTGTAATTACTTTGTACACTTTATTTTTCCGTTGATATACCGTTTTTTATTTTTAGCTTTTTTTGTCGGTATTATTTTGTTATAAAGAATGTTTTAATTAGATCTATCGTAAAGTTTGCTTTTAAGTTTAATTAGCTGGCGCGTAACTTTAACATAATGAATAGTGTGACTTTTGTCTATAAAAAAAATGTGTAGAAGGCGGAAAATGGAGCAACAACAAAAACAGATAAATTTATTTTAATTAAAATAAAATACAAAAAAAAATGTCTTCAAAAACACACGCATAATAAGGTAACTGTAGGACAAAGTAACAAAACAATTTAACCTTTTTTGGTAAATGAAATAAAAAAATGAAATAAATTAAATGTAACAAGCCTTTTTTTCTAATTCTATATTACAAGAACTTTGACAATTGTAAATGTCACACATTTAATATAGTCGTAAAGAGAGAAAGAGGCGGCCTTAGAGTTGTAAACTCTACACTCTTTCCTTAATCTGCATACATGACTTATTTAAGAGTTTGTATCACTGTCACATACATATACATAAGTAAAAATGACACAATTTTAATTAAAAATTTTAGCTAATGTATTTCAATCACTTGATAAAAGACACTAAACGAAAATGAACACACCGCAATAAACCGTGTTGAGAAAAGAATAGAACTGACAACTGAGAATGACAAACGTAGACTGAAATTTGTCTACTAGACCAAAGATGTAAAAAGCATAAAAAGCCTGTGAAAATATTACACACATACATACATATATAGAGGGACAGACAGACAGACGAACGGACGCACATACCCAATGTACACATAAAGAAAGATTCAACAAGTCATTAGCAGTTTATGCAAAATGAAGAACACAACAAGTATGACAAAACAAAAAACAAAAAGAAAAAACGAAACTACTCATATTGTTCTCCTACACAAATGCTCAATTTTATTAAAGCCAAAAAGTGAAAAAAAAAGAAACTACTCAACCTGTTGGTTACAGCCACACAACAGCAACAACAACACAAATAAACGCAAAATCCTACATCCAAAAACAGCAACAAAAGAGAAAAAACCCACAAAATTTTTTAAAAATTACAACAGCTACTGGTGGTTGGTGGCACGCTACTGTTTGTACATTAGACTTGCCTTTAAAAAGTAAAAACATTTGAAACTCTGGTTATCATATCTGCTGGTAAAAATAATCTTTAGACATTGAGAAAATAGGCGCAAATGTACGGAGTCTTACAAATTCCTGTAAATTTTCGATATCTTCACATTTAGGAGTTAACACACCCACAATATTGGCTCTGCCTCTTTTCTTTGTTCAGATTCTTGTTAAAGAATTGTAGAGATTCTTGTTATTTCAATTTTTGAAACATTTAAACCAAATCCACTGATATAAAGCCCATATGATATAAATAATTATTCAAGGAAATCGGTGCAGCCGATTAGCATTCTATAGGGAACAGACAAATAATGTTTGATATATAAACAATCAAACTTTTCGGGTTAGTATGGGGGCTAGGGCTATTTTAAGCCAGAACTATACGGAATTTGAGGGAGTGATTTCTTAGAACAATCGAGTTTTATCTGTTAGGTTAGTCCAGTCCAATTATGGACCGATTCGATGAAATTTGGTAGAGATTTTCGTTCTTGTTTATATCGAATTTTTTTCGCAATATTGGAATATTTAAGCCAGCTAGGAGCGTTGAAGGCATCTTCTGAATTTGATCTTATAGCCCCTAGTTCTTTTAGTATGGCCTCTATTATGTTTTCAACAAACAGACGGTCATAGCTAAATCGCCTTATAATATTACAAGGACCCAAAATAAAGAACAATGTTTCGATGTATTTCGATACCCGAAATTTTCGCCATAGAAAGACACATTTATTATTCACAAATATTTATAGAGTCAATAAAAATCGTCAAATGAAAATATTTATGTATGTTTGCAATTATGTGATGGTAGAAAATACCTTTGAGTACATTGCTTATATTGGTATCGAATATTTATTAGAAGACCAATATGAATGACAGCAGCTAGGATCTATTAACAAACATTTAACTAATACTCAGAATGACATGGGCATCAACAGCATTAACATCAACATCATCATTGCCATCGTCACCACCATCGAAGCAAACATTGTTTTAGAACCAAAGACTGTCAAACAGTTCCATTGAGTGTGTGACTGAATGACTGACTAAACTACAAACCCAGTATTAAGTATGTACAAACAACATACACGAGTATACCAGAAACTGACCTTTTTAATGTACACACACACACACGCTATTATAAATATTATTATGGGTATTCTCAAACCCAATACCCAACTCAACGTCTAATATACATACACACGCACACAAGGTTTTGAAAGGATTTTATGTTGACGGAACAAATAAAACTTTTAAATGTCTATTTGAAGAAACTAAAGAACTTAAAATACTATTTTTAGTAAAAAGTTTAAAATTTATGAAAACAACTTATGCACCTTTGACTTATTATTTTATAAAAAAAAAACTTTTAAAACTTTCTTGAACCCATAATTGAGAATCATATTAAGGAGTCATTTTATTAAAAGGAAATAAACTAAAGTAAAACTTTAAAAGTTCTTGGAGATTGGTTGTAGTTTTTATTATGGGATCACATAGTTTTTATTATGGGATCATATAGGACGAATATGCCGATAAACGGGATCTTTTCAAACTTG